TACGCCGTAATATTTGCATAAGTTTACAAATCGTAAATCTTACGCAATACTTCGCATTAAAAATATTCCTGATGTAATTATATTTAACTTTATCAAAATATTATATTAACCATTTTGAAACTTTATGCATAAATCTTGACCCATCATATTATATCAATTTATATATTTTGTTTTTAAAATATAAACTTTTATAATATAATACAAAAATTTTTTAATATATAATATCATAAATTTCTTTAATTATAATAATATATTTAGTAAATTATTTTTTACAAATGATTAAAAAAATGCTAATAAGATTTTAAAAAAAAAAATAAAAATTTAATAAAAAAATTCCTTATTTATTAAAAAAACTTAATACTTTATTTTTATTAAAAAGAAATTAGTAAGTTAAAAATAACATGATTTGTCAAAAAAAATCAATTTTACATTTATATTACAATCTTAAAAATTAGTATTTTTTATATATATAATATTATAAAGTATAACTTTTATAATCTAGTGTAATATATATTTATATTAATCTATAAATTATAATCAACTAATAAGTTAGATCAATTTGTGCAATAGAAATTTTTACATATATTAAGCTTTGGTAATTTTTCATAAATAAAATTTCTTTTTTATTCTTATCTTCATATATACAATATAAGTATTCTAGTCATATCAAATATTAAACTCTATTTTTAAATAATCATATATTTTAAAAAAAAATTATTTTAAAAATTTATCATATTTTAATAGATTATATCAAAGGTTATTAAAATATAATTTAATTTTTCAAATTAAATTAATATATAAAAAGTTATACTCATTTTATTTTAGTAGAAATTTATATAATATATATATATAATATTTCAATTTAGTTATATTAATAAAATATAATTTTTTAAAAATATAATAAAATTATTAGTAATTAAATCTAATGTTAAATTTTATTAAAAAATGTAATAAATTATCATTTTACTAAAATTATTAATGATTATCACATATATGTAAAGTCACTTTTACAATTTTATTTAAACTAATAGCTAGTATTTCAAAAAGAACATAATATATAAATAACTTACTAAAAAAATGAAATAAACATATTTAAAATAAATATTAACATAGAAAATAATAAAGAAAGCTTGTAAAAAAAAGATGTTTGTAATGTAAAAAGTAATGATAAGATTATATAAGAAAATGATAACTTGGATAATTATTAACTAAAATGCTAAATTATATCTTATTAACTTGCAGATTAATTTATTTAAAAAATTCTGCAAAGACTAAACAAAGATATTATATAAAGCTCTATATAAGCTGACTTGGCTTGGATTGCTACTGGCTTAAACTAAGCCACTTTTTTTAGCTTAACTTGGTTTAGCTTATAGAGATTAATTGACAAGTCAAGCCAAGCTAATGCATCTTATAAGCCAGCTTATTCAGCTTGCATTCATATTTAGAAATGAAAAACTGTCGATAGAAATATTTCTCATTAAAAGAAATATTTCCAGAATGATTCTTTTTGAGAGAAACATTTCTAGAATGATTTCTATCAAGAGAAAAGTTTCAAAATAATTTCCTTTGAGAGGAACATTTTTGAAATGATTCCCATCAAGAGAAAAGTTTCAGAATGATTCCCTTTAAGAAGAACGTTTCCAAAATGATTTCTTTCAAAAGAAATGTTTCTGAAATGATTTCTTTTGAGAGAATTATTTTCAGAGTAAATCTCATAAAGGTTTTTGCTTCTGGAATGATTTCCTTAAAGAATTTTACTTTCAGAGTGATTTCCTTAAAGAATTTCACTTTTGAAGTGATTTTCTTGAATAACTTCACTTTCAAAATAATTTTCTTAAAAATTTTATTTACAGAATGATTTCTTTAAATAATTTATTTTCAGAATAATTTTCTTAAAGAATTTTGTTTCTAGAGCGATTTTCTTTAAAAAAATACCACTAGATGCATTTTCTTCAAAGGAAATATCATTTAGACTATTTTTCTTAAAAAAAAATGTCACTAGTGTCACTTTTCTTCAAAGAAAAACTGCCTTTAGAATTATTTTCTTCAAAAAAGAAAATACAAGCTAACAAGCTGAGCTGTAGCATGAGTCAAGCTACGGCATAAGCTGGCTTGTCTAACTTATAGCTCATTTTATAGTGACTCAAGCTAAATCTAAATAAGCTAGCTCATTTGACTTACAAGTAGCTTGGCTTATGCAGAGCTCTAATATCATGTTTAAATAAAAAGAATGCTAAAAAATATGTAAATATTAATCATTTTTTCATTATAAAATTTCATGAAAATAGTGAAAAAAGTGAATTTGAAGGAATTGAAAATGATGATTTAATTTATAATTCTAAACAAGTAATCAATTTTCAACTAAAGAAAAGAATTTATATAAAAGTTATAAATTATTATATTAAATATATGTGACTTCTTGAATTTTAAAATAATAAATTAAAAGCCAGTCTTTGTATTATACTATAACTTAAAAAAGAACTATAGTTTGCATAATATATTTATTTATAGAGCCATATATTGTAAAATTAAAAAACTATTCTATTTTCTAAGTAAGAAAATATTTAAAATAAAAGCTTACTTTACAGAAATTTGGATTTCTTAATATACAGTAATTGCAAAGTGATTGAATAGTAAATATATGATTACTACCTTACTTAATAGTAACTTAATCGCAGCTTAATAGGTACTATGCAGTTACTTAATAGTAAGGAAACAAAGTTTCTGTAAAGTACTTGAGGATAAAGATATTTAAATGTAACTTATTTCTTATTTATAAGAAAAAAATTCAAATTTTATGTTACTAATTTTATTGAATATATTACAAATATCATTTTTCTATTATTTAAAATTAAAACAAAAATAATAATTAGGTAATCTAATTTTTTTTTAATATTTTAATGATAATTATTAAATATTAATTTTCATTATTTATAATTATTTAGTGAAATTATTACAAGAAATTAACTTAAGAAAATAGGTTTCTATTATAAAAAATATTAAAAAAATTTGTGAATGGTTATGAATGTAAAGTTATAGAAAATTAAAATATATTTTTAAAAGAAATAAAAATGTAAAATTATGCAAAAATTGATCAATTTTTTTAAGTTACAATATAATTATTTTAACATTAATTTATATACAGTTATTAAAATTTAATGTTAATTTTTAATGGTAATAAAATAGAAATACAAATTAATTCTAATTTATAACTGGATAACTAAATTCATATTTTACTTATATATAATGAAACTACTTTTTATTTTAATGATAAAAAAAATTCTGGATAAATTCTTGATCATAAACAGCCCTTGCAAAAAAAAGGTAAGAATATACTATTTATATAAGTGATTTTATTTATAAACTAATTAGATAGTTACAATTAAATAAGAAACAAAGGTTTTCTAAAAATTTCATATGAAGCTTAAGTTATAATGAATCTCAAAAAAAATTATGATAGTTAGTAGATAATTGATAAATTAATTGAATAGATGATAAATTAATTGAATAGATAATAATTAATTTATATTTATTTTTTTTGATTAATTTCTTAATTTTAATAAATAATTTTTAGGTTAATTCAATATGCAATTCTTATATTTGAAATCATTCATTCAAATGCAATTGATATTTTTATATTTGATAATTATAAATCATATAGTGCTTTTGCATCTAATGCATTAATTACATCATATATGAATGTAAACCTTAGTAATAAACAACTCTAAATGAAAAATACAAAAATTTAAACAATCAAATTCAAAGTATGAATTTTTCTGATGATTATATTAATCAAAAATTTTAAGAAAAACCAAAGAATATGAAACAAATTTTAGAAAAATGTCAATTAATAAGATCAGGCTTAATGGATATTGTTACAATAATAAATCTAAAGATATTTAATACTACATGTAACATTATTCTTAAAAATTAATTTGATTTTCTTATTCAAAAAGAAATGATTCAAGAAGTTATTGGAGAATGAGATCATAAAGTAAATTTTTATCCATAATTTCATTTTAAATTGAATTTTATTGAAATGTATTAGGGAGCATCCAAGAAATATTTTCATAAAAATTGTGACTATACTTGGGCTGGCTTGCAACAGGTTATTCTAATTGCTCTAAATCAAATTCTATTATTTCAAATTAGAGCATATGACAAGAAAACCATATAGATATATAGATGCATATCAAAAAGGATTAGATGTAAAACAAGCAGAATATGCAGTTAAGCATTATAAAAGGCATAGAATGTGATACTCAATACATTATTTTAGTGTCTTTAAAATAATTTTTTTAATAAAAAAAAGTTATATGCATACAATATAATAAATTTACGTTAAATTGCCAGAATTATAGTTTGATTTATAATTCAGGCCAAAGGTCACGTGAGAATTTTAGCTACTATATTTGGATTTGATGCGACTAGGGTGTTCGAGCTGTACTAGTTTGCAACGATAAAATTTTGCAAAAAATACTATATAAACTGAAAACATGACTATCACTTTGCTTTGTCTCGTTAAAGAAGATAATCTCGAGAGCGCTTTCGTCATTGATATTGATAGCGGAAAGTTAGTTGGCCACCTCAGGGAGGTTATAAAGGCAGAAAATCCGCTAATGTTGATGCCAAAGATTTGAAATTATGGAAGGTAGAAATCGATCACAACGATCAGTTAAGAAATATCTAACTCCAGGACAACGAAGAGCTGTCGGTGAGAAATTATATAGGAGATTACTGGCCTAAAGCACCACCTATAAAACATATTCACGTCATAGTCGAGCCACCCAGAATTTTTGACCAGATTCTAAGATGACCTACTGTAGCGTCAGTTACCGAAGATGAGAATAATAGTGTTAAACGACGAAAGATTCAAGAAGATTGTTTGACCTAACATATTCCAACTATCTACAATGTTATTATTTTTTTGATCTTTTATTTACTTATTTCTTTTAAAAAGGTTATGCTAAGACGGTTAATATAGGAGAAAAGGCATATAGACCATCGATTGGAGCCATTCCTTCTGTCTTTGCGGAAAATCAAAGAATAAACTCCACAATATTTATGGGAAGACCCATTAATCAAACCGGTCCTCCTATTGATCTCTTCCACAATGACTTTAGCCAATTTATTAAAGATTTTACAAATCAAAATTTGCAAATCCAACATAATGTGTTTTCAATCGCTCAGAAACTGATGGCCACTGGTATCACATCTTTTCAGCAGCGATGAAAATGCTTGTAATCTAGCTATGAAAATGGAGCTGGCAAGTATCTTTGAAGAACCCTTATTACCTATGACATACAGGTACGGCAGCGATAACAATAAAAAATCTAGCGACGGCGTCTTGGTAACTGCTAACGGTTCAAATTTGCTATCGGTTAATATTTGAAGGAACTAAGGAACTATATGCGACTAATGCTGAGCCAACTCTGCAGGCTAACTTTTATTATCACGGTTATTGGTCCCAGATCGACGTATGTGATTTTTCAATGGTTTGTTATTACTTATTATCTTATTATTCCGTTTAAACTTACATCCATCTTTTTTTTGTTTCATTTTCTTTAATGTTTGCTAATAAATAGTCCAAAAAGATCAGAGACCAGTGCTGTTGTCCCTCATATACAGTGGTGTGCAAAAAAAATGACAATTTTTAAAATTACGATCGTTACACAACCACTTTATCAATCGAAAC